TGTCTTTTCCTCTGATCAGCAGGGTCCTACAGAAGCTCAGACTGGATGAGGGGCAAGCAATACACCTTGAACCAGTGTGGCCATGTACACATTGATATGGCTCACTCATGAGTCTCTTAGTGCAGCATGAGACTCACTCATGAGTCTCCTCGACCTCTGCCAGTCTGTACAGATAGGCCGTGTCCTGCTTCCGGGCTTGCTGCTCCATCTCACACTAATTGCTTCATGGCTGAATCCTGAGGAGCAATCCTACTCACTCAAGGAGAGGCAGGTTCCCTTGGAAACCAGAAAGCTGTCCACCAGGTCCACCTACTTGGAAAAGGGACTTGATTCTCAGTCTGAGCTACTCAGAGAGGGATCAGCCCAATCGAGGCTCTACTGCAAACAATTCTTGACTGCTTTCTGCATCTAAAACACGAAGGTTTTGCACTGGCTTCAGTCACGGTATGTCTGGCCGCAATCTCAGCCTTCCGTCTGCCCATCCAAAGTCACTCAGTATCTCCCCAGGATATGACCAGATTCTTAAAAGGTCTTGAGAGGCTCTGGCCTCTCTTCCTCGGTGGGACCTCAACTTGGTCTTTTCTCAGCTGACAGGGCTTCCCTACAAGCCTCTGGCCTCCTGCTTCCTTTCGCTTCTTTCCAATAAGGTGGCCTTTTACGTCAGCCAGGCGAGTGTCCAAGCTCCATGCTCTGATGCTGGAACCCCTATCTACAGCCTTTTCCAAGGATAAGGTGCAGCTTAGACCTCACCTGGCCTTCCTGCCCAAAGCTGTGTCTGCCTTCCACATGGGCCAGGATATCTTCCTTCTGGTCTTCTAGCCCAAGCCCCATAAGTCCAATGAGGAAAGGCGGCTCTATACACTGGACATCAGGGGGACTCTCTCTTTTTACCTGGAGCTAATGAAGCCTTTTGGTAAGTCCTCCCCGCTGTTTGTGTCCTATGCTGAGATTATGAAGGGTCTCCCAGTACCCTTACAGAGGACTTCCAAGTGGATCATCTCCTGTATCAGGATGTGCTATGACTTGGCAGGGGCTCAGCGAACCCCATTGGTGAGAGCTCATTCTGCCAGAGCTCAAGCTTCTTTGGTGGCCTTCCTGGCCACGTTACTATTCAGGACAACTGACAGGCTGTCCCATGATCTTCCAAACATGCCCTCACAGCATGTTATGCCATTACACAACAGGCCAGG